CGGGCATGCTATGGAAATGGAGGAGACACGACGCCCGATTATTATCAAAAATCTACTGAGGAAGTGAAATTGTTGTAGAAGAGAATATTCAGTGGCCACCAAAAATCTATAGATAAAATCAAATGAAACAGAAGGTCTTACTGGAACGAATAATACTGATTGTAGACCCATTGGTAACTGTTATCGCAATGGAATAGAAGTTAAAACAGATGGATATAGGCCATTTGTTGTCATCAAATGTTTGTTGCCGCTGGATGCAAAGCATTTGAATGGTGCCGAAAATCTGCTGAAGATGGAAATTCTGGTTGACAAGCTGGTCTTAGATGGTGCTACTAATGGCATAGATGCTTTTAAGGGCGGTATTTGAAATATGCTGATGGTGAACAATGGAACCTGGCAAATTATCGTCGAAAGATGTAGGCGTTGCGTTGAAAGAGGGTGGGGATGCTCAAAACATGGTTGTTAGACGAAACCTGGAGGTTTCGCGCTGACGAAACGCGTAACCTAGTTTCGTCTTTCGTCAATTAAATAAAATCTTAATGGCGAAATGACGAAACTGACGAAAAATGATGAAACTGACGAAACTGCAATGGGTGACGAAACTAATAAAAGATGAAGAAAAGTTCCCAAAATCGAATTTACAAAAAAAATTGATCAACCATCAACATGTAAAGCAATTCGATGATTTTGGATTAAATGAATGCATGCTAAGATTCGAAATATTAATTTAAAAAATCAGCTCATCGGTTCTCGAGATATCACATTATTTGATAACGCATTCGGAAATGAATAGCTGCTAAGTCATACCGTATTTTCGCGTAATAACGCTCATGAGCGTTATTTAGAACCATGTGCCAATTTTGATGTTACACACCTGCGCGTTATTTCGCGAAAATATGGTAGTTTTATTTTTATTAATCGTTTAGTTTGTTCATAATTGTTTATTTCTTTGTCAAAACATTGCTATTGGCAGTATATACATATTCGTTTAGCGAGAGCGCTAGATTTCGTCAATTGAATTTAGGTTTCGGCAGGTTTTGTCAATTGGAAATTAGGTTTTGTCATTTGAATTTTAGGTCGAAATTTTGTCATTCTGAATTCAGGTTTTAGGTTTCGTCTTTCGTAATTTTGCGTAAAGGGTTTCGCTTAACAACTATAGCTCAAAGTGGATTTGAAGCAGAAAGATCAATCTGGAAGAATGAAGGTACGAACTGGGAAAACGATAATGATGGTATTGTGGTCAAGACATGTGAGGTGAACAGTGATAAAGGAGAAAAGGTGAGTAAAGAAAGAGTAGCAGTTAGCAAAATAAATGATGAAAACTTACTTGTGTCGAGCAATCCAATAGTCTGAAAGACCATGTGTGCTAATGATGCATCTGGTGATGGTATTGAAAATTGATCGAATTTAATCTTGAATAACACCTGAAACCGAAAATAATTGGATAGTGAAATGTACATGGTAAATTGTGGCATAGGACGACATTAAAATATGAAACCTAGGGCATCAAAGACTTATAGTAATATGAATCGAATATCGAAATCGATCATGATGGGTAACGTGGGGAAAATCGAATTTCTCGAATGTTTATATTTGGATCGTTCAGCTGGTATGACGTAGAAGTATAGTCTTTGAATCTGTTTGGATTGATGTTGGGGTTAGTGCTCCGATCGGGTTGACCCGAACACCCGAAACCAACCCGATTATAATAGATTTACTATATGGGTCATGACCCATCTAATAGATTTGCTATAACCGGGTTG